GTGAATAATTTAAACCACTGACGTACGTAGACTGTTATACGACTGTTATACGAATGTATGAACTATTCGAAAATATGACGTCATCGTGGAATACATAACGGATAACAAAGTGTTCTACGTTACCGGCGACTTTCGAATTCTGACCGATAGAGGCGCCCAAAGACAATGGTACGGGTCGCGATGCATTCTGGGAAAAAATGGACGTCTCTCGACAAAAACGTGCTACGCGTCGTACCAGAGTAATTACCCCTTTTTCAATGTTATACGATGCAACTTGCTTCGCTCTGCAGGGCCAGTTTCATTTATCTGCAAGAGCAATAAAGTTTTTTATATATTTTTTGCTTTCCTTCGTTCACCAACGGCTCTTGTTTGTTTTTTTTCGCGAAATGAGAGCCCCAATGCTACGTCACGCGGCTGTTATTAAGCATCGCGGAACGATCCGATCGCACTCGAACGTGGTTCGAAGATGTCAAAGAGGTTAGGAAACCTTCTGTTCGAGACTGCCGAAAACAAGGTCGTAACTCTGTGCAAAGTTCTTGCGGAAAAGTTCTCGATGGCCTTGCGAATTTTTCTGTTTCCCATAGAACAGCGAAAAAGAGTGTGTGTCTGTATAAGCTAGTGGTGATGTTTCAGCGGAGAGCAAAGCTAGTTCAGAATAGACTAGGACGTTTCTTGGATCTTTGGCATTCGGCTATTAAGGCAGTTCTCATGCAAATCGACCACTTCGCGAATTACCTGCCCAGCAATTTATCTTCATTCGAGTTCATACGACTACGGTCGAGTGGCCACACGACTGCAGTGAGCATTACTTTATCGTACAATTCATTTTTATTTTGTTTATCCCTTTTTTTAGCGCAGGTCAAAGTTCAATTTCTTTTTCATCCATTTTATTTACAATTCAACTACATATTCTGTTTCTGTCTTTCATGCTTTTTTTTTCTCGATTAAAAAGAAATTTACAACAAAAATTAACACGAGTGAGATCGAGTGAGCTCGGTGAAAAAAATTAATTTCACAAACGAAAACGGAATTCAAAAGAATCCGAGGAAAAACGAAGATAAACGAAAAATAGAGTCGCCGGATCTGAATAGAGGACTTCTTCAAAGATTACGTAACGCGTAGGTGTCAAAGGACATCATGATCCACGACATAATATTCTGGAATATAATATTTCCATTCTGCTAAGAGGATGTAAGGGATGTTAACCTAAAACGGAAATTCAATGAGAATTATATTTTTGGAATTACGAAAAAAAAAATTTTTCAAATGAAAATCAAAATACGTTTCCTCGCAACGACTGCCTGACGCATTTTAATTTTTCATTTCGTCGCTAATTCATAACTTTTAATACTTTATCCCAGAGAGACTCATTCGTAACCACAAAAGACTGAATTATCATTTTAAAAAATGGCGTCCGCCCCAAAAAAATTACAGGGACAAAAATATATAATTTACTCAGTCTGACGAATTTACCGTCTCTACTTATCCTTTTTTCCTCCGCCCTTTCCTCTTTTTTCTCTCTCCAATGAACTCAGCCTTATAAATACGTGACGTGAACTCCACATGAGATTTCCTCTCTATACGACTTTGCGCATAGTTTTAATGCGATGCCATATCGTCTGACCATTAACGCCATTTCCACTAGGCTGCAGTCACACGAACGCGTTACAAGTTTTTGGTGCCAGGTTGCATAAATATATATATATATATATGCTCAAAGAACCAGAATATACATATACCTATAGTCTAGTCCATTGAAAAGATAGAAATTCGCTGATTCTTATTATTATAGTCAGTACCCGTTGCAGCCACTATACGTATGTAAAACAGCGCATTTATATAGTGAACAATGTTCGGACGTTATCATGGAAACGGCCCTTTTACGATGCTACACGAAAATCCAGTACACCATACCATAATATAATACATAATACGGTACAGTATGGTTAAGCACCGGCCAATTTTCGTCAATTTGGCACATTCCTAATCCCCCCCCTGAATAATCCAATGGCGTCGCATCATTGCGATTTTCTTTTTTGGATTAGTCAATTAGCCGCGTCGTGCTTGAATTTACTAATTATATCCCAGCCCTGGGCTCTTCGTCTAGTCAATTCAATTATCATTCGGTCGAGTTACCAAGCAGGGATGAATATACTTTTTGGCTTTAATCCGATTTAAAGAAGTAAGTACTAGTCAATTACGTATAAGGAACCAGAGCTCAAGGAAAATTACAATAAATTATATTCGAGCCGGAAATCTATATCGGGTGTGATTATTTTATACAATACTAGACTTTCCGCTGTTGAAATTCAAAACGCAGCGTAATTAATTGGATCAACGTTAATCGGCCAGAATTCACAGTGATAACGTATATTATATTTTCTATTTCCGCTATCTCCGTACTTTCCTATCGATTTGACTATCAAACGATAACCGTTTAAGTAGCCTATATCGTTCCAGTGTTTACAGGAAATGACGATGGAATAATATTACGTCATTAATAATTTAATTAAATCATCCCTGTTTTAGTCAACTGTCTTCTAACTCGTAATCAAAATACATTTCGGGTATGCGAGTGTGAAGTTAGTAGCTCGAGGGGACCCAAGTAGAAAAGTAAACTAACTGTCAGACAAAACTGGGGATCGGTCTGACCCGCACGCAACTTGCCTACTTAATAATGTTATACCATATCATAACTAGCAGACCCGGGAAAATTAACCTTTGCGTTATCAATTTTTTTTTTTCAACTCTTATCAAAATCCACGCGACACTAAACTTTCAGCAATTACTTGCGTGGATTATAAAGAAAATTCAAATAAACTTCCAAATTTGATTTATTGTTCGTGAACTTCTTTCAATTTGATATCCCATTAACACGTATAGTGGATAATTAAGAAATTGAAAGTTCTATGACTAATTTAATTTTTACTTGCGATTTTGAAGAAATTTTTTTTGTCCTAAATTCTCCCATAAATTATTGATATTAATAACTGTAACTGCTAATTTATACTTTAGCTCTTTTAATACGCAAACATCAAATAAAGCGCGACATGTAAATAGCGTTTTTTTTTTTCGTTTTGACCAAACCATTATCCCAAAAGTTATACTGGGATAAATACCCAGTAAAACTAAATTCCCCTCATTAAGCACGCATATAAGCGTATATATATAAGATACGCTATATATCATACGATACACGAAAACGCACGATTACGGACGAACGTCTACGAACATGCACGAGTGCGTGCACGTTGATTAATACCAGCCGGTATGTCGCTCGTAACTTAAGGTTAATTGCACCGAGTTTAGTCGACATATGTGAACCCTCCGCTTATGGCAGTCATATATAACTACAGGAACAGGCAGATAAAAGCAATAGTGGCGCCACTCTCGCTCGAAAATTAAAGGCTACGATCTTGTTGATGGCCCAAACTCAAGGATGGAACTCAGGGCCGGATGCACAACCGGAATCAAAATGGCGGAGACTGCCGAATTTCCCCGAAACTCCAGTTGCAGTTTTCTACGGGTAAAAGCGAATGATTAAGTCGTCTTAGTTTCGCGAAACTTTTCCTATATACTTAATGACCGTGAATCCCGTGCGATGGCGCTGCCGTAGAGAACCTTGTAAGATATGACGTAGTTTTCTGGACCGAACGGAAAGTGTACATTTTTTCTTTTTTTTTTCTGTATTTGATATTTAAAAAAAAAGATATTTTTTAATACTCACTTCAGTGTTCGCTCTTATCTCAAAAATATTATCCTACAAATATTTTAACGAATAGTCATTTCACATTTCAAATTTATGTATATCCATTAGCATGGTATATAGATATGTGCTATATATGCCATAAATTTATGTATTTATTTAAGCTACGATTCTCACCCGATGCCAGTAGTCGAACTACCCCCAATTTATCTCGATCTGCCGATAACAGCCACCGACTAGAAGGGGCTCGTATCGAATAGGAATGAAATCATTTTTCGAACACAGCAAGTCTTTTTTTTTTGTTAATGTCTGCGCTTATCGCCCAAAGGTATATCAGTGATATGAGATAAAAAAAATTCTTCGGAGTTTCTCCCGTCGCATAACTGAAATTTTCACAATAAAATCAACACAGTCCACTGGACCACATTGGCACGGAATTTTAACTGATTCGATATTCCCGAGTTACTCAGTCGAGTAAATAATATTTATTCCGTCATAAAATTTTCGCAAGCCGCTTACGTCACTTCGTGTGTTATCAATTTGAATATTTCGTAATCTAAAAACGGAAAATGAAAAAACTCGAACCTTTTGACACACATTGAATTGAGTTTCCAATGGAAAAAAAAAAATCGATTCGCGTCAATCCTACAACGAAGCACAATGACGATCGATTACTGCACTGAGAAAAATTAACGAGCGGATACTTGGGAAAAAAAAGTTTTCAAACTGTTGTCGAGTACGCGCGATACGCGTCAGGCAATAATAACACAGGCGCCTTTGTACGGTCGCGTTTCCACAATGAAATACGACTTGCGCAATACGACATTGACTCGTTGGAATATGCATATATTTATCCAGCAAATAAAACCGTCTACGGAATAGGGCAATAAAGAACGAATGAAATTCAATGATAATTGGCAGATCAATTATTCCCATTTAAAGTAGCCACCTCGTGAATTTTTCATTGAAATTTTTGTTTTCCCTCTTATCCCCAATTTTCTAGGCCTCTCTCGTTCGGGCCTCGCTCTCTTTTCCTGCATTCTCACAATCTGGACATCAATCTTAATCGTCTTACAATTCAAGCTCGATTTTTCATTGAGAACGATGAATTATTGCTACGCCCCTGGGTACCTGCCTCGAATCCCATTCGTATCAAGAAACTCAATTGGCCGTCGATATAAAAGAGCGGCACTCTAGGACGCATTACTGCGATACTATCGAAGTGGCTTTCCTCTTTAAGAATCTACAGTTTCGGCATAGTACGTAACTATAGTGAAATTAAAAACGTGCTTACGTGAACACTGCCGTGGCTCGTCGCTACCATCTCCGCAATCGTCGAAGCTGTTGCACACTTTGTTCAGAGCGACGCAGCGACCGTTTCCACAGTGGAATTCGCTCTGGCGACAGGACAGCACAGTACTAGCCGTTACGATGCAAACGTAAAGTAGCCAGCGCATGCCTGAAAGATAAAAAAAACGAAAAAAGAGGATAAATAAAAATTGTCTATAAAATTCATAATAAAAATAATTTTTCTATTTTATCATCATTCCTTTACAATCTCGAATTCCATAACGCCCCACCATTATTACACCGAATATTATTTTCCTCTTTTTACCTAGAACAGACAACCCCTGCTAACAAAGATTCTAGAAAGTTTTCCGATAAAGCCATAAAGGTACCTCCGAGTTCGAGACAGCCATTGGAAGGCGGGCAATTCAAAAATGCCAAAGAAGCGCCTCTGAAATAAAACCCACGTAACACGGTGGAACGACACGGAATGGATTATTTACTAGCCTCCGTTTCCCGATCGAGAATTTCCCGAGGAAAACAACGCATTCGTCCCGACAGTTTCTCCAGAGTATTCCAGAAAATTCATCATAGATGGCGCTGAGAGCGCTTTTCCGACTAGATCTTTTATCTTTATCAAAAACATCCTTATCGTGCCCAAAGGCAGGGCTTTGAACAGTTTTGAAAGTGATACGGCCCTGAGGGGGCCCCTTCCCGTAGATTTGCGCTTAATCGTTCTTTTCTAGCAGAGACAATCGTGCCAGTCCTCGGGGCTTCTGGCTTCGATGAAACTTTCGTTTCTCTGACTGCCCTTCCCTCCCCTTCGATCCTCCCCCCATCGCCAACTCTCTCACTCCCACCTGGTACTCCTTTCCCCTCTCCCTCGCTCTCCTGCCAGGTGAATCTCTATGAAAAGCATAGAAACGCGCTTCCGTGCTCATCCGCTGTCATCCGTCCCCCTAACATTCGTCCCTCTGGATCTTTCTTATCGCGGATATATTATTCCTCTCTGGCAAATTGCATTACGTATCCGCTACTGTCTTCTCGATGTATCTCGTACACGGTATACCCCTTCGGAATTACATGGAAACTAACCGAAGCGACAAATAAAGTCGATACTGCTTGATTAGTGAGAAATTGCCAGGGACGAGAACTTCTCCATGAGTTTAGTTGGATAAATCCAGCGCCAATTGGTTATCCAGACACCCAACTGCTACCAATACTGGACGTCTCATTTCATGAGATATAAGCGTGGTCGCGTCGGCGACTGTCGCTACGGTGTAAATTGAGTTAGTTTGGTTCATAACGAATTGCCAGGTATAACTCGTATATAAATATATATGTATATACATATATACAAGGTTTATTCATATTGCACAAAATCACGTTACCTCGCGCCTTCGCACGATTGGAAATCAAGTATGAATTATCAACTGTAACGATATTGGCGAAAATTCGCGAATATCATTTTTACATTTACCTAGCGATATATTTCAGACGGATATTCAACGCGAAATTTTATTTAAGGCACGATGAAATACGTGCGTCCTTTTTTTTCGGTACCTGTGGGAATTTTCAAATGTCTCTCAGGTCACGTTCCTTAAATGACTTTCGTCAGGCTAAGCTGAGCGAGCTGAAATACAAAAAAAGGTAACTCGATGAAAGCTACGAAAATTTTCGTATCCGCCTTAAAGGGCCACGCGTATTCTTTATATATATGTGTATATATATATATATAATAGCTAACTCGATGGCCGCAGACTTCCGCGTTTATGCGGTGCCTGTAGCTTCCGGCTTCCCATGGGCTGCATATTTTTCGAGTCTATCTACCGGAATTAGCATACGAATGTACTGACTTTACTGTCTTATATATATATATATATTTATTTACGGTACGTGTATATTATATATATATATTATATATAAATTTATATACAGACTCCTTTGAAAATGGTTTCTTTCGTTAAAAAGTTCTTTCCACCCTACTTATTCTTTATTCGCACGACCGAATATCGGTCGTTCCTTTTTTTCTTATTTACGAATCAATATTCGTAGTGTCGATAGATAAATTCTTAATTCAATGCATAAATTTCGAGCGGCCGGTAGTTTATGGAAACAGAATTCGTGTCGCCATCTAGCGTTAAGCGAACAGTACTACAAAAAGCTTTGTTTACTGTAGCATATTGAACGGCGATCTTGCTTTGCAATTATTTTACACCCACATGCATTCCCAAACCATATACACGCGCGCCTATAACTGGTTCACTCTATAGCCAAAGATACATGTTCCAGTGAATTTTGTCGAACCAAGTAAACGAGACTGAAAATGAAAGTTTAACCCTGAAAATCATTAATAAGTAATCTCGTAAAGGTAATCTATTTAAAGAGTATCTATATTTACGTTAAGGGTAATATATCCCAAGGGTAAATTATTATTCAGTTTGACTGTACCAACTAGTAGTCTAGTACGTAATATTATTATTTAATCAACTAGCTGCTATCACTAGAATTGCTAGTAGCAGAGTTCAAACCGATGAAATTTCCTTGTGAATTCGTATAAACGAATACCTGTACCAACATACATAGTTACGTAACGAGTATAAATGATCCATAATAAAAATAGTCTCTGCCTTTAAAACGAATACCGTCAGGTCGTCCTAGGTCGATGATTTTTAAACTGACCACCCGGTATAAATTCGTAGCAATATCAATCAGCACGGGTATTGGGCATTATCCATTACGTATTACACGAACCTCCATAATACCAAACTAGCCAGCCACGAGCACGTTCAAAGAGATGCAGATCAAAGTGGCGAAGGAACGATCAAATTTTCCTGTGATACAGGAAAATGAATTATAAAGCGTACGAAGCCGACGTTACAGGGAATGCCGGGAAACGGCTTGTACGTAAAGTATTTTAATATTTAGTATCGAGGTAATTTCTGTTTCCCGAAGGAAGCATGGCGATTTTATATTTTAATATTTTTTTAAAGGTACTATCAGTAATTGACATTGTTACGCAATTTGATCGGACCCTATTGTAAAATGACAAAAGAGTTACGTAATCGATACTTGGTTTACTTTTTTTTTTTTTTTTTTTCTAATTAACAACTTTTTACTTTCTTCCTCAATGATCAAACATGTGTCCGGAATTAGGACTATTACCGTATGGTCGATGCATTCAAATTCAAATGACGTTCAAATTATACGACTTAACGCTCCCATTACCTTGTACCATAATAACAATGGCATTGTCCCTGTACCAACTGCAGAACCTTCTTCGCTACAACAGAGACGCTTTCGAGACTGAAGCGCCACGTAAACGCGCCAATTTTCTCTAGCGAATATTCACTACCTTTTTTTTCCCCACTCTTCGCAATTTCCTCGCTTCAAGAGTGCTCCAAGTATATTTTTGCTCTTTTTGAAAAATCTATTTAATTTTATTTCCTTCATATTCGACTCGCCTCCTATGGTTTGCTCGAAAATTCATCGTTGTAGTAAATTTTTGGAAAATACATGTAAAACCTCGACGAACCTTTTATACGATCCACGGGATCTTGACACCTCTGGGAGTTGTCAAACTGCATTTCGTCATACCGTCATAACCTATCTTGCGACTACAGCGCCCCAGGGGTTCGCGAGGAAATCCTGCACTCCCGCTTTTATACGCCGACAACGTGGATGCCCACGTATCGTTGCCTCGAAGACACATAGACCTCGGGCAGGTAGGCACTGTATCAAATGGAGGGCGATTTCTTTATATGCCGTTGCGATTTCCGAGCACTTGAATTTTCTATAGGCCGTATCCAAAGATACGGCGAAATAATTCAAATGACCGATACCCGTACACGTGGATTCGTGGAGTTGCGAAATATTCTGAGATATTCATTACTCTCAACCCCTTTTTTTTTTCTTCTACGTTCTTACACAGGAAACGCCGGAAACAAGAAAATCAACGAGGAAAAATTTTTCTATAAAACTGTCATGCAGTTGACACTGATTGATTGGATAAGTGATGAAAAAATTAATGGAAACTACGATTACTCACAGGAGACTCGTGGTATATAGTAGTACTACATTTTACACTATATATATATATTAAGCTGGGCTACCAGGTACAGTGATTTTGCTTTGATCTGTCAATTGATCAAACTCACGAAATTTTTTTCGTATCAGACACGCCTGGTACTGCAGCAATGCTTGAGCATATACCAAATTCGAAAATACGAGTGCATTATGGGTACATTCGGATAATGATCTGGATGGATCGTTACTGTGAAAAGGATCGAGCAGACACGGAAGCCCATGTACAACCGTGAGAACTATACGGAATGAGTTTGCGATATCAGTAGAAACGTACATTGAAATTCCATTAATTTGAATTCAAGTCAATTAACCGATCAATTTAAAGCGCGGAGCATGTGATTTACAAAAATCCATTATACGAAAATCGGATACCGGTAATGATTGTTTGATGGCGGGGTATGTAAAATAATATAAAAATAAACAATAGTTATCACCCTTCCTTCAACCCCTGCTGAATATGATATCCATGTAACACAGTGGAGAATTTATTACGTCGTGAAAAATCGCCACCCTTCGGGAATCTCCGGCAGGCATTTCCCAAGGAGAATTTTCTACCTCTCTCTCTCTCTCTCTCTCCCTCGTGCCCTAGATCGAATAAATTTGATTTCTCTCTGTCTCTCCCCCTTGAGAATTTATTGGCGAGTACCGGTCGTCTTGTAAGAAGAATAAAAAAAAATTCTACTAAGAAAGGTAGCGCAGCAGCTAAAATATCCTCTATATATAGGAGAGAGGAGAAAGTGGAGTATAAAAGGATACAGGGGCGGATAGGGGAGGGGGGTGTAGGAGGGGCTTGAAACCTCAAAAAAATCGAATTATATTCGTGAAAATTATCGTTTACAGTTTGTTTGCTAAGGGCTTTTGCGGAATTTTCGATACGATGGTAAAACTGGAAATCAACCCTCCACGCGTCACTGGGGGGATGATGGAAGAGACGTAGGAAAGAATTATTACTATATCAGGGCCGAAGTCTTCGGGGCCTTAAGGGTGCAAAGCTGGGAGATAAATAAGACAGTTGCGGCTGACGTTAATGTTTGCTTTGCTTCAAATCCACCAACCCCTACTTATTTTAGCCTTATATTGTATATA